TATAACACAGTGTCTGGTTAATAAGCCTCCAATTACTCCTGAAATAAAAATTATCATGTTTGTTTAGGGAAATATAAACACTGACACATTCATTATTAGTATTTCAGGAGCTATACAACAGAGAAGACAACTAGAATGGAGTTACCATTTCAACACCATTTTCCCCGAAATGGCTGACAAATGTGGCCTGTGTAAAATTATTTGAAGAGATTTAGAAGGAGCATTTATTTCACCTGAAATGGGTGTGTGTGATTTATAAAAAATTTACATCCTGGTCTCTTCCCCCAGTTCCTGACTCAGGGCTCCAAAATCCTTGTAAGTTCCTAACTAATAAGAGCACTAGAAGCATCTTTTGTTCTGATATTTGGTCTTTGATCCCATTCATGACACAGGGCTCCTGAAAGCCTTGTAATTTTCTAAATGACGGGCGTGCGTTTTGTTGTGATGAGGCAACTTGGGGTGGGCTGCTGGGTGGTTCCTGGATGAGAGTTGGTCAGTCAGTGGAAAGGCCAAGCCATGATTAGAAGCTTAAAATTTTTTGGTCCCACCTTCTGCCCCAGACTCTCTTGAGAAGGGAAAAGGGCTGAACATGGAGTTAGCGATTGCTCATATCTACATAATAAAGCCTCCAAAAAATCTCAGAAGTGCAGGGTATGGAGAGCTTCAAGGGAGGTGAACTCACCCACACTGGGAGAATGAAGCAGCCCCAGCTCCACATGGACGGAAGCTCCGGTGATCCCAACTCCCCCAGACCTCAGCTTATGTGTCTCTCCATCTGTCTGTCCGCCTCGTCCTTCATCGTGTCCTTCAGCAATCTGGTAAATGTAATTGTTTCCCTGAGTCCTGTGAGCCACTCAACACCAAGGGCAGGAGGTGCGAATGGAAACCTCTGATTCGTAGCGAAGTAGAGCTGAAGTTGTAGCTTATCCAGGGGACCTACCAGTTGAGATTGGCATCTGTGGCGGGGGTCAGTCTTGTGGGACTGAGGCCATAAAATCTGATATCTGACACTATCTGCAGATAGTGTTAGAGTTGAGATAGATTCTGCGAAATCCAGCTGGCGTCACAGAATTGTGGTGCAGGAAATATAAAAACCCACATGTTTGGCTACTAGAGTGTCAGAGTGGTGTCAACTGTGTGAAAGGAAAGGAAGCACACTCGAGGTGAAGAACTAGGTGTCTCGCCACACGGAGGGTAAAAATGAATGGTTTTCTAACGCAGGACATCTGTACCACACCACATTCTTTTACATGTGTATTCCTGGACATGAAATGGGGAAGGAGAGGCAAAGGAGAAAGAAAACAAAGACCTCTTCTAAATAATCCTTTGTCCACTTTCATTTTTTTGTATCTAAACTCACAAAACGTGTTAATTTAACTCAATTTCCTACCCCTTCAGTCTCCCTTCCTTCACTGTCCTAGATACATACTACAATAGAACATCGGTAGCCAAAAAATTCATTGATGAAGCCAAGTTTGTTAAATTTTCTTTAAACCATTCAGATCGGAATGATTTTTTTTATGCCAAATATGGCTGATTTCTTCCAGATCTAAACATAAGCGCACTGGACACTTGTTGTTCCAAGTATATTAGATGGCATGTTATTATACAGTTTTTTTAATTTAATTTTCAATGGAGTTACTTTAGTTTCTGGGTGGCTTTGTTCTTCCATTTATGTTCCTACTTGGTTTTGCTGTAACTACGTGCATAGTTAGGCAGTTATGTTAGAGAGAGCAGTGAGTGCGTCTAATCTTCATCATCAAGGGACATGTGTTGGAATTTGATTTGACAGAAAGGGAAGGGAACATTCTACTGATAACTCGCAACACGTCCAAGATGAGGGACTAGTTGTGCTCTAGTGGGTAACTACAAGCCACATTCATTTTTTGACATAATCATTGCTAACATTTATTGTTATACATGCTTTGCATGTGTTAATTTATTCACATTAATGATCCTATAGAATAGGTACAGCAAATATTTGATTTAGTCATTGCCCAGCCAGGAGTATAGAAACCATTATAGGTACTTCAAACAGGGTATTTAATACAAGGACTTGGATACAAAAGTATAGGAAGGACTAGAAAAATAAAGGAGAAGATGATAAAAAACTGCAGGAGGCTATTTGCCTAAAATTGGAAGAGAAAAGTGGAAAAGGGTATTATCTAGAATGGTTAAATTGCCTTTGAGGCTGGGGGCTTTTTTCTGCTGATTGGCCAGAACCCAGGAACTTCCAGGCCCGTGGCTGCTGCCGAAACTGCTAAACCTGCCAGAGCCCACGGCCGCCGCCACGGCCACACTGCGTCTCCACCTAGGAGCCCACCAGAGTTTTCTGCCGCTTCAGAAACCGAGAGCTATATGATTCCCTTTCGGTCTCAATCTCTCTCCTTCTCCCTCTTTCATTTTTAATAGTTTTAATGCTTATTCTCTTCTATAGTTTTTGTTCTTTTACTTTTAAAATAGATTTGCAGCCTCTGTGCACAAACTAAGTTCCAGCATCAAATGCAATGATTGCCCTTTCCCTTCATTCTCCGACAGCTCGTGACCACGCCCCTCCGGCAGAGCCTCTTCAGACCCCACTGGGGAGAAAACTCTAGGACAGGTAGCACGCGGGCTTCCAGGACAGAGATAGTATGGAAAGATGGGAATGGGCTTTGGGGATCAATGGACGACACTGGCACAATCCTTGTTTGGCAGGTGAGGAAATAAAAACACAGAGTTTGAATAACTTCTGTACAGTTATTCATACAGTTAGTAAGTGGCGGAGCTGGGATCCTAACTCAGGCGTCCAGTACATAGCTTTCATTAGTCCTAAGTATGCCCTGTTTACTCCAACCAAACCACTCTACTGAGCCATTCACGCACGTCTGGGCTCACCTCCACCTTAGTATGTGCTCATGTCTCCCTCTTGCTTGAAATGCACTTTCAGCTTCTCCCCCTCCGATCAAACGGGAGGGTTATAGATTGTCAGACATAAAAGGAGCCTTGAAGTAGTTACTCCCAGGCAGTAGAATTGAAAATAAAATCTTTCATTCTTTTACCCTTTACACTTCTGTATTATTTCAATTAATCATTTTTAATAAATATGTGTTACTCTGATAATCAGATAATGACAGTGGAAATAAACAAATAGATAAGACAATAAAACTCAACTCTTGCCATTTTTCTTGGGTCTTTCCCCCAAAACTATTTCAAAGTGATTTGACTGCAAACAAGCAGAGAAGCAGATAGTATTGTTTGGACAATAAGTTGATTAGTATGGATTGAAGCCCTTACCACAGGCAAGAATGTTCACTTATTTTGACCCAAATAAACTTTAGTTCATATGCATATGTACCAGAGTGATATGGGTGAGGATTCTTTGTGATATACAGTTTGAGCAGGAGTCATTGCTCAGTCCCACTTCAGCCTTACGCTCTGTTTCATGACGAAACACAGCCCAGCTCCCCGGACTCGAGCTGGTGCCCCCGTGCCGAAACGACTCTCCCACCCACTGCCTCTGACTGTGCTCCCCTTGCACACTCCAGCTTGTCATCTCTTTCTGCCAATAGGACTCCTGTGTGTTTTTTAAGGACCTACTCAGATCTTATTTCTACCGTAAGACTTTCTTAGATTGCCCCAGGCTAAGTACATCCAAATCGGCTGTAACAGTGGAAAATTTTAACAGTGGGAAATTGTAACCCATCCCACCATTCTCCTGACATTATTTCTGTAAGTGCTGATTTTGACTAATATGTAGCTTATAGATGCACAGCATGGTTGTAACACGTGTAAAGGACCACTGACAAAGACAATGGGGTGTTGGGGGGAGGATTAAATGTGGGAGGTCGGGGGTGGGTAGGACGGGAGAGTAATTGGGGGAAAAATGGAGTCCATTGTAATTGAACAACAATTTAAAGCAAGAGAGCCCTAGGAACTAACGTCAAAAGATACGAACTCTGACCTTCAAGCATCCGGGCTCTGGGACCTTCATCCATGGAGCCAGGATGACTAAACCAGGATGATGTGCACCGGGCCGTCACTTGCCTTCTGGGAGTGGACCATGATCATCTGCACAGAGAGAACTTTTCAACCCCCTCCTTTAACCTCTTTGTTCTGCTCCTCTTCTTTCTCCTCATGAAAACCTCCGCCTGGCCCTGGCCCTGGCTGGTGTGACTCAGTGGGTTGTGACTACGAAGTAAAGGGCTGCTGGTTCCATTCCCAGTCAGGGCACATGCCTGGGTTGCAGGCCAGGTCCCCAGTGGAGGGCACGTGAGAGGCAACCACACATTGATGTTTCTCTCCCTCTCTTTCTCCTTCCCTTCCCCTCTCTCTGAAAATAAGTAAGTAAAATCTTTAAAAAAACAAAAACAAAAACAAGAAACTCTGCCCAGGAGCTAGGCTTTGAGAGATGAGATCCCCCATCTTCCAGGACGTTGGCACCTAAAAATAAACCACTTTCTTATACATCAGCATCTGCCCCTTGAGTATTGGCTTTCATGTGGCAGGGAGCTGGGCTGGTGTTTTGGTGATACCACTATATTCTACAGTTTTACTTCTCTTGATATTTATGTCATTATAGTCTGGGTTTCATTACTGTTTGTGTGTGTGTGTGTGTATGGGTGCCTATTTCTACAAGATTGTGAGTCTCAGCAGATAAGAACATAGTTTAATTTATTTGATTTTGGCATGGCACATTTCTTTAAACATGTTAAGCATTTAAGAGATGTTACTTGAGAATTAATTGCATGGGATTGTGCAGGTCATTGCCCCAATTTCTGTCCCCGACCCTCGCATATCATAGGTCATTTTGTTGCATTTCTAAGACAAAAAGAAAAGAAAAGAAAAAAATCAGGAAAAAAATTTACAAAGTGGGTAGCTTACATAAAGAAATTCTTTCTAACCATGCTCTGTCCTGCAAAAAAATTTCTCAGAAGGGTGCTTGCCCACTTCTGTTTCTTACTTTTTTATCTGATACACTTAGAAATGACTCATTTTGAAACTCTTCCTGTGAAGTCAGAAAGCAGTCAAAAGTGTGGCGTTCCATTTATCAACACAAACGAAGAGAGAAGAAAAACAAACATCTCAGCAAATTCCCTAAATATACTTCATGACTTAGTTGTGGTTAAGTGTGAAGACAGACAGGACTTGTGGACGCCTCCAGATTGGTGCTGGAGGCTTCAGTTGCTGTCTCGAGTTTCTGGTAAGAAACCCTGCATCCCCGAAGACTAGCAGGTAGCTTATTTTTCTTATTATACATCGTGGTTGGAGGGTCATTCTCTTCTATTTCCACTTATTCCTTCCCAACTTATATTTCCTTTGTTTTGTCCCTATGTGGGCCTTTCTTCTTCTAAATATTCCACACTCTATCTCTATTCTTTTTTTTAATATTTTTTATTTATTTTTAGAGAGAGGAGAAGGGAAGGAGAAAGAGTGGGAGAGAAACATCAGCATGTGGTTGCCTTTCATGTGTCCCCTACTGGAGACCTGGCCCGCAACCCAGGCATATGCCTTGACAAGGAATGGAACTGGCAACCCTTTGCTTCACCGGCCTGTGCTCAATCCACTGGGCTACACCAGCCAGAGCTATTTATCTTTATTCTTAATACATTCATTCTAAACTGATGTCATTTTCCCTTCTCTTAGGTTGGCTATGTTTCTCCTTCTGACCTTTGATTCCAGTCTTCCCCAATAGTTTGGTTTTTCAAATCATTATTACCTACTATATATATGTATGGATATATATTCTTATTGTATGTCTTATTTGTATTTACCGTTTTACTTATTCCTTCTTGCCACTGACTGTTATACTATATTAGAATTTGGTTCTGGAATTTGCTTTTCCTGTCATAGTTGAATTTTAGTTTCAAATTTTACCAACATTTTAAGTTATTGTCAGTCAAACGAGTATTAAAAATAAAACTAAAAATTCTCTATTTTTCTTAAATGTAGAGATATATTTTAGTCAAAACACTTGGAGAGTCATAAAAAAGATCAAGTTCTGAAAGACTTTAAAATTCTTATTTATACATAGTTTCATTTCAAGGCAGATAATATGTAATATTTAAAATAGCTCTTACTGGATTATTCACTTGCTTTATATTGGAATTTTGCTTTTGTCAGTCTTGAACACTTCAATTTGTACGGTTCTTGGTGCCTTACTCCTTGTTAATGGTACCAAAGGCTCTGAAGAATCAGTTACATGATTCTTCAGGGTGAAAACAGTATCAGTGTCTGAGAGCCCTTCTGGGTGTATGTGTAAAAGTCAACTAAGTTGCTGAGTATCAATTTCAAAAACTGCAAAATAAACGTAGAGACAGGGTGAGAGGATTGCTAAGTTTATTTTCAGTCCTAGCATTCTGCAACTCTATCTCCCCCTCAGTATTTTATGGATCTGTGCGTGGATGTGTGTGCTGGAGCGGAGCGGGGGTCAGGGTCTCTACCAGGCACAACACGGCAGCACTTGGATATTTGAGTAGGTAAGGCTACAGAGAAGGGAATGAGAATAACGCTTTTAAATTGTTATGTTGTTGACTCAGTTATTTTAACTTCTGCTAATTATTCAAAACCTTCTGAGGACATTTTATTAACTCAGCAGAACTTATTTCCTTGTTACAAAAATATTTGTGGTCTCTGGAAGGAATAGCCCCTAGGAACTGGGAACTGGAAAATAAAAAGGAAGTTAGAAAAGAGCGTTCTGACTGTATTAAGTGGATAAAAATAGAATTCTAAACTTTGTCAAAAGAAAAAGTAACACCCTCCCCCAAATGAACATCCATTCATTCAAGTAATGTTTAATCTTTATGTCATAAGGCATTGTGCTAAATTCTGTGGAACAAGTATTTAGGGACAAGACTCATTTTTTTACCACCATGAAATTAAAGTCAAAATGGTAAATAGAACAGCTACCATAATCATTACAATACAGGATAAAATGTATCATTTCACAGAGAATACAAAAAGAGGTTCAGCCCTGACTGGTGTGGCTCAGTGGATTGAGCACTGGCCTGCAAAGCAAAGGGTCGCCAGTTCCATTTCCAGCCAGGGCACATGCCTGGGTCGCCAGCCAGGTCGCCAGCCAGGTCCCCAGTTGTGGACATGTGAGAGGTGACCACACATTAAGGTTTGTCTCCCTTTCATTCTCCCTTCTCTCTAAAAATAAATAAAATAAGAAAGAAAGAAAAGAGGTTCAAACAACACACTCAAAAGAAATTTAAGAGGCTGAAGAACTAACTTCTGATTGAAATTACTAGAGGAAGTTCCAGGGAAAATATGGTGTTTGAACTGGATCTTGAAGAACAGCTAGACTTTAACAGGCAGAGATTAAAGATGGAGGGAAGAGGAGGTTAAGGTAAAGGAAACAAGTGCAGATAGAAGCCAAGGAACAGAAAATGGCATTAACTTGGAACATTGAGCTCTTCAGAAAAGCTACAAAGTAAGGGATGTTTTTAGGAATGTTGAGCATTAGGGGAGGATATTGTCACAGAGGCCAAGAGAAGAGAGTGTTGAGGGGTTAATGTATCAAATGATGTGTATTATATTCTGGAGGATGGAAACAGAGAAAAAGATGCTTGGACATGTTACTTAGAGGTAATTTCAGCAAAGTGATCGAAGCAGAAGGAGAATTCATGATTTGAGAAGTGAGTGGTAAAAACAACAGACCCCCAAACAAGCCAGTATCTTTGAAAAACAGAAACCAGGCTAATTTCGGACGTAAAAAACATAACATCCTGATGCAAGCAAGCGTGATCCTGCATTGGATAAAACTGTGGGCAAATCAGCTAGACAAGATACTTTGGGGGCATTTGGAGAATTGAATAAAGATTGAGTATTCCTTCCGGTGCAATTGTGTTGTATCAGGGGAGACCGCTGCCTGAGAAAAAGAAAGCCGTTCATAAAATGACAGGCACTTGTACCCTCGTCCACAGACGTCGTTCCCCACAGCTAAGAGCCGGAAGCAGCTCACATGTCCGTTGACAGATAATGAGTGAATAACCACAATGTGGCCTATGCAGACAATGGAATGTTTTTCAGCCTTAATAACAAAGAAAATTATTTATATTTAATCTTTATGGTATTTTTTCCCATTCCCCTTTAGCCCACCTGGGCCCCAGCCTCCAGCAATCACCCCACTGTTGGAAATTCTGACACACGCTACAGCATGGGTGAATCCTAAGGACATTATGCTAAGTGAAAGAAGCTAGTCACACAACAAAGAGGAAGGCCATATGATTCTAAATATAAACATAAACAGAAAATAGAAGGGTGGTTTCCGGGGCTGGCAAGGGGGCAAGTAGAAAGTTGCCTAATAGACATAGAGTTTCAGTTTTGCAAGGTGAAAAAGGTCTGGATTTTGCACAATAATGTGAGTATATCTAACACTACTGAACTGAACCCTTAAAAACAGCTAAGATGATAAATTTTATTTACATGTATTTTACCACAATTAAAAATTATTAAGAACAAATATACACATAGGACATAATAAGTTTGTTAAACTTTGCTTAACAAAAAGTATACATACATATATACAAGTGTGTATATTAATGTAATATAATATAATATAGTATAGTATAACATGAAAGATCCAGAGGGTGTAAATTAAGGTGCTAAGGTAGTACTCACTAACTGGTGGAATATGACATTTTTATTTTCTTTTTCTTACTTGTCCATATTTTCCAAATTTTTTCATGCATATTTTCTGCTTCTGTAATAATAAAGCAGTTATTACTGTTACATTCAATGCTAAATAAATAAATAAGAAAGAAATAGTGGGTAGTGAGAAAATCAATGCCAAGGGTGTAAACAACTCTCGAGAAATTGGACAGCAAAAAGCTGAGCTTGTACCTAAAAGACATAACTGAGTCTAGAACACCTTTTTCTGTAGTGATGATGGATCCTTTGAAAATCTGGTGCAGGCAATAGATGAATCTTTTGCCCTCAAGGAAATAAAAATATGTATAAAAGTAAAATATTCTAGTGCTCGCTTCGGCAGCACATATACTAAAAAGTAAAATATTCTATATCATTTGAGGTGATAATGGACTTTCTCAAACCCCTTTCATGGATCTAAAGTTGAGAACCCCTGATATAGAAGTTATTGTTTGTTTGTCCATTAGACTCATTTTTGTTTTGTTTCATTTTTTTAAAATATATTTTATTGATTATGCCATTACAGTTGTTCTATTCCCCCCTTCCTTCCCCTCCGCCTTGCACCCCCCACCCCTACCATTCCCTCCCTTTAGTTTATGACCATGTGTCTCAAGTTCTTTAGATTCTATATTTCCCATGCTATTCTTGCCCCCCATCTATTTTCTATCTACCGTCTATGCTACTTATTTTCTGTACCTTCTCCCCCCTTCTCCTCCTCCCACTCCCCTGTTGCTAACCCTCCTTGAGATCTTCATTTCTATGTTTCCACTCCTGATCTAGCTGTCCTCTTAGTTTGCTTTTCTTTTAGGTGTGGTGGTTAATAGCTGTGAGTTTGATGTCCTTTCACTGTACATATTTTTTATCTTTTTTCCTTAGATAAGTCCCTTTAACATTTCATATAAGAAGGGCTTGGTGATGATGAACTCCTTTAACTTGACCTTATCTGAGAAGCACTTCATCTGCCCTTCCATTCGTTTGCTTTTAATAGAAAATGTGGGGTAAGGAAAGGAACCAGTAGAGAACGAGAGATTGAAAGTGCAAGAAAAAGGGGAAATATACATTGATATAAACTTCCAAATGAGGTTATTATTTCGATACACATTTAAATTGGTATAGTACATTTAAATGGCCTATCAGAGAGTGTTTTGTGTGATCCAGTGTGAAGTCAAGGAATACAAATTAAAACAGTGTGAGGGGGCTTGTGTGGTTCTACATCATTATGTGGGAAGGCTAGATTTCTAAGAATACTGATTTTTTAAAAAGATAATGTTACTTTCAACAGGTTTGCCCATCTTTTTGCAGAAGTTTAGCAATGGAGTCTTTCCCTAATGAGACCAATTCTACTGACCTACATCCACGGCCCTGGAATGAACCCCAACTGATTCTCTCCATGGTCATCCTCAGCCTCACTTTCTTATTGGGATTGCCAGGCAACGGGCTGGTGCTGTGGGTGGCTGGCCTAAAGATGAAGTGGACAGTGAGCACCGTTTTGTTTCTCCATCTCACCCTGGCAGACTTCCTCTGCTGCCTCTCCTTGCCCTTCTCTGTGGTTCACTTGGCTCTCCAAGGACACTGGCCTTACGGTCGGCTCCTATGCAAGCTCATTCCCTCCATCATCATCCTCAACATGTTTGCCAGCGTCTTCTTGCTGACTACCATTAGCCTGGACCGCTGTCTTTTGGTGCTCAAGCCGATCTGGTGCCAGAATCACCGCAATGTGAGGGCAGCCTTTGTTATCTGTGTATGTATCTGGGTGCTGGCTCTTATAATGTGTACGCCTGTGTTCATATACCGGGAGACGTTCACTGTAGACGAGCAAAATATGTGCGGCTACTATTTTGGTGGCGATAGCTCCTTCGACTATTTGAACTTCACCTTTGATGGACCGGAAAATGGATCTTTTGACAACTCCATCGTTCAGCTGTCTGGAAAAATGGATGATAGGTTAGATGCTTTCCCTTTACAAACTAACGATCATCCTTGGACAGCTACTACTCTCCTTCCTTCTCAAACATTTCAGAGACTTCCTGGAGATTCACTCCCTGTGGATTCGGCTAGATTATCTAATCAACATCCATATCATAAACTAATTAAACCTGATGATGAGGGCTTACCCACAATCCCTGTTGGCCTCCCCACTGATGATCACAGAACTAACCCACTGAGTAACTTAGATGCTTTCCTCTCCACCCATTTAGAGCCTTTCTCTACTGCCTCTAGTAATGCCTTCTACATGGCTGAGCTACCGCAAGATTTCGAGGATGATTATGAAGACCTCTTTGCATATGACAATCCAGTTCCAACACCGCTGGTAGTAATGGCCATCACTAGGCTAGTGATGGGTCTCCTGCTGCCCTTGATTGCCATGCTGACCTGTTATGGCCTCATTCTCTTCCGAATGCGACGAGGCCGCTTTGCCAAGTCTCGAAGCAAAACCTTCCGAGTGTCCATGGTGGTGGTACTTGTCTTTCTTGTCTGCTGGGCCCCATACCACATTGTTGGAGTCCTCTTATTGTTTATTGACCCACATACTCCCTTTGGGGAAGCTCTGCACTTCCTGGACCATGTGTCTGTTGCTCTAGCATCTGCCAATAGTTGCTTGAATCCCTTCCTGTATGCCTTCATGGGAAAAGATTTTAGGAAGACAGCAAGGCAGTCCATGAGGGGCATTCTGGAGGCAGCTTTCAGTGAGGATCACACACATTCTACCAGCTGTACCCAAAACACCTTTTCAGAAAGAAACAGCAGTAGAGCCGTGTGAAAATATGGAACACTTGGCCCAAGGAGAGCTTCTTAGGTATTCACTAAGTGCCATTGGTATGTTTCTAAAAGAACAAGGGACATGGTGAGCAGGGATTTCAGAAAACGTCAAAGACTCAGTGTAGAGGTCTTCAGAGCGGGTCCCGGACTAGTTCCATCAGCCGCACCTGGAAACTCTCCAGCCCCACCCCAGACGATAGCAAGGTCCCTTGTTTCTGATGAATGCTAAATTTGAGAGTCAATGCAGAGCTTAGTCTGTCTATCCCAAACTAAGCCTACTGAAATGAATGAGAACCTAGTCTGCTGTAAAATGATGTATCCATCATTAAAGTTACTATTTATATCTCTAAATTCCTCTCCAGATTCATTTTAAAACCAATTCCTCCAACTTTGAGTAAAAGATGATTAATTTATTCTATGGCTTTATTGTTGTACTGCTGCTGGTGGTGGGATGGTTGTAAATAAAGAGAAAGCACAAGAAGAAATCGCCTATGAAAACAGGGGTCTATGCAGCTGAGTCTGGAGCAGAGTACAATGCCACTCATGTGGAAGACTCATGGACAAGGACACAATTCCAAGCTTCCAAGGACACAATTCCAAGCTTGCAACTAAACAATCATCTGCTGTGCAAACACGAACAACTGACATGTAACAACTTACTCGTGGACTGGGATGTACCCTGCCCTTTGAGGAGGTCTTTTGTCAATTCGTTTACTCTACAGGTTGATAGCGCCATCCAACTTCTCCTGACCTTGAATTCATTAGTTCCTTATTCGTCCCCTGCCTCTAAGTCTTCTTTCACACACTACACTTTGTACCTGCACTAACCTCTCATTTCAAAAGTTTAAAATCACTGGAAAATGACTGAGTACCCTCCCAGGACACCATCAAACTTATTAATCCAAAAGGTATGGATCTTTCACGCTATAATTACCAGCTGTATCTTTAGGTTTTTTAATTAAACTTCATCAAAATAACACGTACTCATGGTTTAAAGAGATTCAAGGTTTATAATGAAATACGAGATGTTTCCTGCCCCACCCTGCCCAACCACTCCCTCCTCCCACTCCCATTTCCCAGAGATAACCCTTGCAACGACATGAGATGTTTCTTCTGATATCTGCCATGATATTTCTAAGTCATAGGCTTATGCTGATCATTTTTGTAGACATGATAAAAATGACTCCGTTTTGCAAGGTGAAGAACTTTATCCAAGCCGATTTATATTTTTTCTTTATCCAGAGTCCCAATATTCACTAACCATCACAGTTTAATTCGTTCATCACCACACATTTTCTTCCACTTCCTCTCTCCATTCCAACCATATAGACATATAGCTTTCCTTCTGTCCTTCTTTCATTTTATAAAAGCTTTGTTCGATTCCCTATCGCCTTCTCATTTTCTCTGAATACAAACCCATGTGTTAAACCTCTAAAATTCAGGTTTCCTTGCACTTCGACATAGCTCCTTCTATGCTGAATACATTGATTTAATCAAAAGATAAAAATGAGAAGCTCTTGACTTGCTATGATGGATGTGAGGGTCTGGATTACAAATTTGTTACAAAGAGCTATACAGGAAATTTCAAATAACTAGGAATTCTTTCACCCTGTGAGGTAATGCCTGATATGATGCACATTTGCAAGCTACCTTTTATTTTAATCTGCTTATATATTTGATGCAAATAAATGGTTTCTTTCTCGTGGTTCCTTGCAAGGCTCAGAGATTCATGGATCCTTTTAATTGTATGACACTCAGAATATATCATAATATCTACATATGCAACCAATAAATCTTATAGTGAGTAGCTGTAGGTTTGCTCTAATAGCAGTGGGCTAGGCTTCTAATAGCAATGGGCTAACACATCTCACAAGACCTGGGTGTAAGTCCCAAACTCCTGAGGTTAATACATAGTATATTAGATGAATGGACTTGGCATAGATACAAAGATTCAATAATTGGCATCACTGGGCTCCTTCTAGAGTGCCAGTTACCTTGGAAATGTATTCTGAAAACAATTTCTATGATAGGAATTCCCTCATTTCTGATGAAAACTTCTGGCAAGTACCTGTAAGTACTCACAGGAAGTCCCAGATGGGGACCCAACTCCCCCCAAATTGTAGTACCTTTAATCTGTAAAATACCCTAGAATGTGCCCTGGCTGATGTAGCTCAGTGGATTGAGTGTGGGCCTGTGAAGCAAAGGATCGTGGTTCAATTCCCAGTCAGGGCACATGCCTGGGTTGCAGGCCAGTTCCCAGTGGGGGACACATGAGAGACAACCACACGTTGATATGTCTCTCCCTCTCTCCTTCCCTTCCCCTCCCTCTGAAAATAAATATTAAAATACCCAAGAATGCAAGCAAGCTGGCCTTGTCCACACACCAAGCTGCAAAGGATGACTGTCTCTCCCAGTGATATTTCACTATCTTTAATAGCATTTGAAAAGGAGAATGTTAAAGGCATGCTTTAAAATCTTCTCTCATCAACCTTCCCCCAAATAGTCAACTACTCAAACCCTGTGGTGTGAGGTCAGAGTGCAGCAAAAGGCCAACTGAAAACAAATGCCTCACGCTTCTCTCTTCCTAACCCGGCAAAAAGAAATTCGAGACCAGCACAAATAAGGTAAAACCATAAACATTCTTTTTTGTTTTTATTAAGAAAGCATGCAAAAAACAACAACAACAATTGTGAGACCATACCCCCTTCCCAGCCTGCACCGATGCAAAGCATTATGGGTGGTAGGAAGGACTCACCAAACCAGAGACACAGGGGTTGAAGAGAGGAAGGCAGGGATGGGTGAATCTATACCAAGCAATTGCTCCTTCTGTCCCTCTCATTTTCTCCCTTATTTCCTCTTGCAGGCAGTGAGCTTCTGCAGCTTTGCACACATCACCCAATATAATACAATGACTATACTTCAAGTCCAGCAATGCCGAACCAACAAGAAAAAGTAGTATTCTTCCATTTCATGGAGGGGCAGGGAACTGAGGCCCAAAGAGGGTCAAGTTTGTCCTGTGCCACTGAGCAGGGCTGAATTTAGTGGCGGGGACCTAAATTCCCAGGAGGCCTGATGGCCAGTCTCCAGCTCTAGCCCCAAACTTCAGTTACTCTGGCAGCCCACCAGAGTTAACGGGGCTAGTTTTTCTTTAAGACACTGATGAATTACAAACAAGGGATACTCACATGTATGATTTAATCTACCCTTGCAAACCCTGTCTGGATCTGAGTAGAAAAGTGATTTACAAAAGAGGAGTGATAATAGGTAAAGGGGACTTCTTAGGGAGGATAGATGGAAATTGTGTGCAAGAGGCACCTTGATTGGAAGGAATAAGGAAGAGATGCCCAAAATAGGAACACTGGGCAAAGGCATTGTGCTGCCCTCTAAGAGAAATTCTCCTTTCCCCAGTGGAAAATATGACGTCATTCTTCAACCCCACTAACTGCCCTCTAACACAACAGGGGGAACTCAAGCCACTCACACCCCCACCTCGTACAAAGAACTTCAAAGAAATAAAGTGCTCTTTAGTCAACTGCCCTTTCTTGCCCCTTCACTGCAGCCTCACTAGACTTCTTCAGCAAACTCCCATATGTAACCCCTTACAGCCAGGAGAAGGGGTGGGAGAAGGAAAAAGCAGGAGAGTAGAAAGATAAATCTCTTGGAAATCCTCAGTAAACAAAAGAATATGATAATAAAGCAGAAATCAAAGAGAGTTGCCCTGTCCAGCCCATACGTTTGTCCTGTAGTTTTCAGAAACTAAACAGAGAAAAACAGAAGTAAAACTGTTCTTTCCCCCATGAGTAAAATTCAGTAATTAACCTTATATATACACTAAGTACTTTGCAGCAATAAACCATGGCCATTCCTTGTCAAAGGAGATAAGTTATCCCTATACCTTTTTCTGGGGGTTTCCCTTGGCCCCCAGTGAATACTTCACTCTAGATTATTTACCCCACACTACCAATGCCTTTGCCCCTCAAAAGACTATTGCAAAAGTTTCAGCCCCAATGATCTGGATTCCAACAGAAGCATTTGCCTACATAGTTAAGTAACTGAAACATTCCCTTCCCATGTCAATGCCAGCTGCATTTTGCTTTCCCCACCCACCTATCACCAATCCCGTTTGGTTCTCCAGGGCAGGTGGGAAAGAGATTCCCATCCTGTCTTAAAACATGATGAAATGAAGAGTGCTGGAAAATAAGGCAAAAAAATAAGGTGAGGAGAAGAAGAGTGGGGTGAACAACTGAGAGAGGACATAACAGTATTTGCTGAATGGGAAACGGGGATTGAAGAACAACTGGCAAATACAGATAAGAGCCACTGTTAATTTTCAGAGAAAATTATGTTTAAACAGCCAAAAGGGCTAAACTGAAAACATCTCCAAAAAGCCGAACCTGTGCGGAACAGCTGTCCTCCGCCCACCACCGCAGCAGAGGCCTGGCTCACAGCCCCCGTGTCTCCCACGGAGGATGGCCTGGGGATGAGCCAGCGGACCCTGACCTGCCATGGTATTAGTTACCAGTCCCCAGCTGTTTTAGATGCCATCGCCCTGCTGCGGTATTCCACTCCACCAGCCCAGCCTCTTATTCCACTAGCATTTTATGGTCACCTTCCGGCACCACCACCATGATGAAAGGAGAAAGAATCGCCAGGAGAAAGAATTGAAGATATAAAGGGACAAGGAAGAGCTCAGAGGACAAAATTAGCACCATTGAGTAAAACCTGCTAAGTCATGACTGCCAAGCAGTGTTAGAGATCCCTTCTGCTCGAAAACGTGGCCTCTCCAGTCCTGGACTGAATTGACAAGAACAGAAAAAAAATTTAGGGCTGAAAGGTGGGATTAGCACTGAATTTCTCAGATAGAAAGGTATAAATCCGAATTTGAAACCTTTCTCTGTGGCCATCATGGCCTCACCTTCCAGCCAGAGGACTTTAAATTAGCAAGGGGTGCACACAGTCAGGGGTATAGGAACAGGAGAGAGGAGGTTGCATATAACCAATAATAATAATAATAACAACATAATAAGAATAATACTAAAGGAATTAGGAAAAAAGAAGAAGAGGAAGAATGAGGCAGGAAAGAGGGGTTATCTTCGGCAGCATCTTGCGGTGGCTTCTCTGACAGAGAAAGGAAAAAAACCAGAATATATATCTATATACAGGCAACGGGGGGAAGGATGGGCTGGGGCTGCTCTTTCCCCACTGCCAGACTTCGCCATCCAGCCCTGGGCTGACAGTCACACTCTGTGATGCACTAAGTGATCAAGTCCCAGTCGAAGTCATCGGGGATCTCCTCACTGGCACCAGGAGGTGGAACCGGTGGCCGAGGGACCATGTGATGTGCTGTCAGGAAAAGACAAAGAGATTAAAAGGAGGGTGGATGGGAAGCTGTTCTGTCAGTTAGAGGGACAGTGCTCAGCCCCCTCGATTACCATGAGGAAGGCCTGGTGAAACCACCGTCCTTTCAGCCCTGAGTTCATTTTTTGTTGCTAGCCACTACTTCAGTGAAGCCCTAGGAAATAAACGGGAAGTAGGCCCCACGCCGACAGGACAGTTTACAGCCATTAACACTTAGACTTATGAAGACCCTGTACCAGTGGCAAAGAACATACAGATGTGCTGCTTTGAAGCAGCAGCACAGAAATGTGTATGTATATTACATAGATAAGGAATATGGGGACAAAGACTCAGATGTCATCTCCAAAACTGAAAACACTGGTGGTTTCGCAGGATATTAGTAATTTTTCTAAAATGTATTTAAAGGTGAAAGATCTGTTCGATTCGTACTATTTAAGATAATTTGGGGTCTCCCCTGGCACTACCACCATCAGAGGTAGTTCAATCCCAGATCCCTGACACTAGAGGTCAGGCAACAGGAAAGCAGACATGGGCACAAAGCAGGTACGTTTTATGCTTTGCACACTATGTTCATTTTACTAGCCTGCGTATGTCTCTCATCTAGCTTCTTTTCTTTCTTTCTTTACTTTTAGAGAGAGGGGAAGGGAGGAAGAAAGAGAAGGAGAGAAACGTCAATGTAGAGGTAGATGCCTCCTCGTGCGCCCCCTACTGGGGACCTGGCCCCGCAACCCAGCCATGTGCCCTGACTGGGAATTGAACCTGTGACCCTTTGGTTCACAGCCTGGCACTCAGTCCTTAGCCACACAAGCCACAACTCATCTAGCTTCTAAAGCTAGACATAAATGTTCTAGGTATCTATATTTTGTTTACATTCTTGAATGTACTTGCTTTCATTATTGAAGGTGCCCGATAATTTCATTAATTAATTAATTTTATTCTCACCCAAAGACATTTTTCCATTGGTTTTTAGAGAGAGAGAGGAAGGGAGAGAGAAGAACATCAATGCAAGAGAGAAGCACTGATTGGCTGCCTTTGTACGCTCCCAGACGGGAGACCACACATGCCCAGACTGGGGATCGCATGCATCCAGACCAGGAACCAAACCCACAACTCAGGTCTGTGCCTTGACTGGGAATCGATCCCGCAACCTTTCAGTTTCAGGAGGATGCTTCAACCAACGAAGCCACATCAACCAGCGCATACCAGATAATTTTGAAGTAAATCTGTCCCATTTAGTCTCCCATGACATACACCTCACTAGTAAGTGGCCCACACTCTGGCCTTTAGAATCCTGAAGGCTCACCCTTGCCAGGAAGTGCAGAGAATGCAGGCCAAGAGACGGGAGAAGGTAAAACAACCGGTGAGAAAAGAGACTGCTCGGTTGGGGGTGAAGCAAGCTTTCTGGCTCTTACCTGGGCGATTGTATCCTGCTGAGTCCTGGGTGGAGATTGGGTACATTGGTGATGGGCCAGAGTAGAGGTGGGGGGCTTGTGGGTGCCCATAAGAGTTCACTGTCAAACAAGACAAGAGTTACTTGAATGGATCATTCTACTCACTGAAGCAAAATGCCACAGAGAGGAAAAAGTGGTCCTCTTCCCCTCCCCTTAACTTCTCCCTTCTCTGCTCTGTTCTGTAGCTCCTGTGGGCATGAAGGCTTTCTGCAGAAGCTATCAGCCCTCACCTCTTAGGGCGAAAAGACCTAGATACTAGAACTGTGAAAGAACATAGCTATTAGAAAGATGACAAATATGAAAACAAGGTCATTGAATGTCTCTCCTCATGTCACGGAGCTGATGATCCCGTAACGGTAGACATTCAAGAGCTCACCTGACATAATTCAGGTAGGGGTCACTTAGACACAAATTAGGACCAGAGACTTTCTCCTCCCTTTCCTTATGTAATTCTAATCTCCCACACGAAGGAATCACATGGTCTCTTTCTTTGGCATTCTCCAGTATAGCACGTTACAGACAAATGTTCAGTCAATGTGGTAGACAAACTAGTCCCGCTGCTCAGTTGGGATCACTGCCCATTAGATGATTTTTCCCAATTCTCTTCTGCCCTTCTCCTCCCCGTCCCTTTTCATCCGAGTATCCACCTTCTTGGCCACTTGCTTTGTTTGTACCTTGGGTCAGGGCTGCCTCCTGTTTGCCACTCGTGAGGGCACAGGAGTCAGTAATACGGGGAGGGGCTGATGGCCGGTGGGAGCCCCCTTGGGAGGGCATGTGACCAGTCTGAGTGAGGAAGTGGTTGAGGGAGTCGCACAGATTGGCGATGTGATGCTGGTCCAGGCTCCAGTTCTTCTGCTCTGCCTGTCGTAGACTCTCCATCAGTTCTACAAACAGAGACGCAAGGAGCGCTATCCTCACAGAGGCCTCAGAGACCCCACAGCATCTACCCCATCTCGCTGTTCCGACCACATCCTGAATCAACACCACTGATTAACTGCATCTCCCATTATTACTGGTATCCATTAGGGCTCTACATTTTCAAACTCTCATTCTATTTGTTGCTAAATTCATATCATAATTTTGAACTTAGTGATGAATAAAACAAAATTTCAAAGTAACTGAGGGAATGAACCATGGCCACACCATCAGTAAATGCTGACAAACATACCAAATAATGGTCCAGGGTTTCTCAATTCCTGAGAGCCCCCCCTCTCCCAGGACAGAAGTGGCTAGGACAAACTACTGTCATGGTTTGAAATAAGGCTAAATCTATGAAACTTAACTTACAAATCATGTCAATACCATCCACCTTGTGAAATATGAAGGGAAATAATGAAATCGTCAGTCCTCAAACTTCACTTAACCATCGTCCACTTCTGGTCCTGGTTTCTCTGGGGTTCATGCACTTCCCCTGGACCCTCCTCTCTCCTGTCTTCACTAACCTGAGAACTGTGACTGCTCGATGCTGGACCAATTGAGCCGATTCACCATCTTGAAGCTTTCCTTTAAGGAGTCGATATTAGAGCACCAGTCGGGAGGAAAGGCTGTAACGAGGAGGGCAGATTGGGGAATAAGAGAGAGGCAAGTGTAAGAGGGCAGCCAACTCACAGCAGCCTGACTACAGGTAGGATTCTGGCATCTACACAGGTTATCGATTACATTACCAAGATAGTTTTGAAACCTCCCTCCCTGGAGATTTAGGACTAGTAAAGCTACCTATTCATTAGGTAGTGACAGCCCAACTCACAGGTAGGAGAATATGTAAAACAATCCCAATATATCCACAATTTCTATAATACAGGGCTCGAAGTAACAACTTCTGTTAGCTCAGATGAGCTCTCATGGAGGAGAGAGACGAAAAGGCTCAGCATTAACTTCCTCACCAACTGTACCTGCATGCCAGGGCCAGAACAAGGAGGTCATTCACCCTGCTCCAGCACCTCCCTTTACCCTCCTTACTCACCAAAACCACTACTGTTGATAGAAGCCTGGCCTTGTGCCTGTGGCTGTGGCGGTGGTGGCTGTTGGCCAGGGTGGGAGTGGGGATGATGCTGGTGAGGGTGATAGCCTCCGTGCTGCAGGGGGGGTGGATGCATGGCCATCAAAGAGGGAGGCCCGTAGCCTTCAGCCCCAGTTTGCTTCGCCCCTGGTGGGGTACAACCATCTGGGCTTGGGGTGTGCAGTGGAGGAGCACCCCCTACAGCTGAAGGGCCCTGGGCTGGCTGCTGCTGCTGCTGGGGCTGTGACTGCTGGGGCTGTGGCTGTGGTGACTGCTGCTGCTGAGGTGGCGGCTGCTGCTGCTGGTACATGTAGTAGTTGTTAGAGGGTGCCATGTCGCCCAGGAGAGACGAAAAGCCTGCAGGGTAGGAGGAAGCAGGCGAGTCACTTGGGCAATGCATTCTTCACTCAACAGGATTTCCACTGAGTCAAGGTGGGTAACCTCAGACAGAAACCACAGACTTCAAAGGGTGAGGGTGCACTGGGACAGCAGGGGTCCCACTGGCCGGTAAAGCAGGCAGAGGGAGAGCCTTGAGAATGTGGTGAACACTGAAACTTTAGCAAAAGGTCAGCATGCACCTTTCTATGTGATTTTACCAAGATGTGGGTGTAGGCCTGCAATCACAGTATCAAAAGACACCACCCATCAGATAAAGTTTAAAAAGCAAATCACAAAGAAGACAAAACCACTGGGCGACTATTCTCTCCTCCTCCTTATTGTCCCTTCACCTTCTACTCCCACCACCTTTTCTTGTGCTGACTATCAACAAATGCAGCTTCAGTGAGGAGTGGAGGAAGGATGGATGCATTTCTCAAACAGACTGGCCAGAAAAGAACTAGAGATTGAGGCTTGTAGTCTTCAGCCATCATTAAACTCCAGTGGACATTTTGCTGTCCTCGCCCACTTAATTTTTTACTTTGTTTCTGAGAGCCCCTCCATGTTCCTCTCGTCCAATCAACCGATCGCCTGAGTTGGACTCATTTCTCATGCAAATGCTAGTCTCAGAACACAACTCTAGATATGAATCCCCTGGGATACAAGAGGACCAATTAATGACAGTTAGACACAAATTTTACCTTTCTAAAAAGTGACTCCTAACTACTTTTAATCATTCTACTCATCTCCTGCTGTCTATGCAGGGCCACGGTCTAGAACAAGAAGATCTGATGATTCATTTGAAGTCTTGACTGCATCCCTACCTCTAACTTCTTTAAAAATGAAACAGAACAGCCTGGCTGGTGTGGCTCAGTTGGTTGGAGCACTGTCCTGGAAACCGGAAGGTTTCAGTTTCCATTCTGTCAGGGCACATGCCTAGGCTGCAAGTTTGGTACTCGTCGAAGTGTGTACAAGAGGACACCGACTGATGTTTCTCTCTCTCTCCCCACCCCACCCCTCTCTCTAGAATCAATAAGCATGTCCTTGGGTGAGGATAAAAAAGGTTGGGAGGGTTGAACCAGATCCTCTCCCAAAGAGCCTCCCAATAGGGACTTTGAAGCATTCTCAACTCAGGAAGTTGAGTAGGAACAAGATGTAAACTAATACTAGGAAGAATCATTAATTGTGTTTGAAGTGATCATTGAAATAACTAACTAAAAAGTATTTATCGTTAAGGATGCATGTTCAAATAATATTTACGGGTAGAGGACATGTCTGGGAATTGCATTCAATTACTCCAATTTAAAAAAAAGAAAGAAAGAAAGAGCCCTGGCTGGTATGGCTCAGTGGATTGAGTGCCGACCTGCAAACCAAAGAGTCACCAGTTCAATTCCTAGTCAGGACACATGTCTGGGTTGTGGGCCTGGTCTCCAGTAGGGGGCACCTGAGGGGCAACCACACAACGATGTTTCTCTCCCTCTTTCTCCCTCCCCTCCCCTCTCTCTAAAAATAAATAAATAAGAATCTTTTTTTTAAAAGGAGAAAGTTGAGTAGTAAATGAAATAAAACTAACAAAATACTGGTAATTGTTTAAATTGGGATACAGAAACATGAGGATTTATAACACTATTTTCACTACTTTTGCATCTGTTTGAGGTTTTTCCTAATACAAAATAACATAAATATGCTAAAAATAAAATTAAATTGTTTTGACAAAAAAAAACCCACATACAATGACTTTTTTTTTTTTTTGGACTGACCCTTATGGAAAGAGAACTGCTGTCCCCTAGTGGTCATTTCCTAAGTGACTTGCTTGAAGCAATCAAATCACTGCCCTTCTAGCCAGGAGATTTCTTCCAACTCCCTTTCTGAAGCTAATAACCCAGACCACATGCTGAAATAGCTGTCCTTCAGAACTAAGCCAGAAGAGCTCGACTCCAAACAGTTTTCATTCATAACATGCTTCCCCTGACCAGTGATCAACCTTTCCTTACATTAAAAATAAGAAAGGAGGGAAAAAAGAACATGTCACCACCTGTTCAAAAATATAAAGATGACCGTGCTCCCATCCCAACTCCGGACTCACCATGCTGAGAGGAGGACGAAGACTTCTCCAGCATGGACTTGTAGAGGTTGCGGAAGGACCAGCTCAGATCCTGAAAATTGATCTCTGAGTAGGAGAATTTGAAGTCATGGTTCGTGTTGTATAAGGGAGGCGGACCCTCAGCACTTTCTCGGCCTGGAGCCCCTGCAGCCACCGCTCCGCCATCCACAGATCCTGTGCCCTGCAAACAGAAGTAAGAAAGACTTGATCCACGTCCTACATGAGGAACCAACACTACCCTTTAACGGTGCCCAGGCTCTCCGGCCTGTCTCCATCCGCCACCAACCTTTCAGTGACAGAGCATCGTTTCTTCTTTCTTTATACATTCTTATTTTACTGTAGCCCCTTCCTCTTTCCCTATGTTACACCCATGCATTTACTTCTCTTATCAACATTTTTACCCCCCCTTTTCAGGACTCTTTCTCAAATTCCTGCTCTCATTCTCTCACTTCCACCCCTTCTCTCTCAGCTTTTCCCTTTTCCTTTCCCCTTCTTTTCCAATTTATCTGCCTACTGTATCACAGATACTCAATACATAATTTCGAACAGACAGATCTATGACTCTACTCAACCACTCATCCGCCCATTCTCCCAGCCACCAGCTCATAAACCCATCCGTTCACCTGCCCCTCTGCCCCCTCTACTTCCTACCTGGCTGTAGCTGGCGAGAGATGTGGGGCTCTGAAGTGACATCTGAGGGTTCCCCTCAGGAGGCAGGGAGGCTTCTCCACTCCCTGGAACACCTCCCCGGGGGCTCTTGCTTGCCTCCTGTTCTGGTGAGTCCTGGGAGAGCTGAGGGTTGCGAAAGAAAAGAAATCCATAAGCAGAAGCTTTCCTCCCAAGACCCAAGGTTTCCCCTTTGCTGGCATTCGCCCTTTGCCCCGGATACATGAAAGGGCAAATACCACCAGCAAAGGACTGAAAACACCGGGAAGAATGTGGAAGGAGCAGCTGGCTCGGGACTGAGCCAGCCATCTCTCCGAGACCTGGGCACTTACATCATCGTCTGGAGGGTGTCTTCTCTTTCGGGAGATGTCAGGGCAGGTGTCAATTGTCCAGTAAGAGCCCTAGAAGGAGAACCAGCGCCACAGAGAACAAAATCATTACAGCTGAAAATTTCCACCTTTGGAAAAGTAGATATTTTGGAGGATTTTCTGATCAAATAACACTAATAGTAAGACCAATGACCGGGAAGAAGAAGAAAAAAAGGAAAATGACCGGAAATTCACGCAGAGGCCTGAGGATGCTGGCTATTTTTGAGGAGTCGCTCTGTCCTACTGGTTCACTAAGTACATCCAACACACGCCTGCGGTGCACTCACAGACTTGGATTTTTCTGCAGAGGCAGAACAACGGTATCTAGTTCAAAGAGCTCTGCATGCCAGACACAACCCTGCCCTTGCGCATCATCGGAGGCAAGACCTGGACTTTAGTGTCCACATCTGTGAAATGAAGAGAATGATTTATTCTGTTTCCCTCTGAAGACAAAAGTCACGAAATTTGTGTAGAGAGAAGTTCCCATAGAGGCTATGAAGTCCGCACCTTTTACATCTAGCAAGTGTGCCACACACAAAAAACAGGACAGGAAAATCGACCTTAACACCGAAATTCTACTTTTAAAAAGAGATTTCACAATCTTCCTTAGTCACCCATATTAGTGGGGGGCCCAAAAGCCTGATTACCAAGCTCTTCCACTGAGAAAAAATAAAGCTGCTTCTGTAATTAGCATAGTTTCCTCTTCTGGATAATTAAAACAACCTCAGGACTCGTTGGGGCTGTCAACTACTTCTCTCTCCTTCCTGTTCCCCCTTTCAGTGCTTACAAAGGGCAGTATCTCACCTTCCCAGGATCATCCCGAGGTCTGGGCACCTTCCGGAAACACTTGTTGAGGGAAAGGTTGTGCCGAATTGAATTCTGGGGAAGCACAGAAGCAAGTTAGAGTTGAGCATTGTGCAAAGCAGTACGTTTTACAATAGAACAAAAAGGGACACAAAAAGGACATAACAAAAAATAAAGTTCAAGTATTGGGGTAAACGTATCAACTCTCAACTCTACTGATGGAGGAAATTACCTATCAGGTAGCAAATGCAATGAACTAAGAAAAACGCAGAAATTATATTTATGAGCAGTAGTGACTATAAATTTGACCACCGGGTGCTTCTGGAAGGCTGATTACAGTATAGAGCTTTTCAATCTTCCCACCCACTGACACCAGGTATACAAATGCCTCACAATCACATCTGCCCAGTTCTTATATCATTCCGTCATAAAAGCACAATACTTTTAAACTATTTATAAATATAATTACAAGTATAAACTATGAGAAAAACAAAAGCACAGTTCACCTTTGTTTTCTCAGCAGCCCATAGAATGGTCACACGAGGAGAAAAGAAATATTGTATAAATGTGCTGGGGGTTCAGGGAGCTAGCAGGGGCCTATTCATAAAAGAGAAGACTGAACGCTTTCGCCCAGACCGGGTGGCTCAGTTGGTTGGAGCTTCATCCTGGACACCAAAGGTTTGCAGTTTTGATTCCCGGGCAGGGCACATACCTAGGCTGTGGGCTCCGTTCCTGGTCAGGACGATTGATGTTTCTCTCTCTCCCTCTCTTGCTCTCTAAACATACCCTTGGGTGAAGATTAAAAAACAAAACAACTGAATGCTTTCAATAGTCTTCAGCTCATCATCTGGTTTGTATGTCAACTGGTGAGTCATAGAGTGAGAGAACTTCATTAAATCCCCATTCTACTTTGCAATTGGCAAATAAGTTGTCACTCCAAAAGACTGGGAACATCAGCCTTCCTTCTTTGCTTGGAAAAGGAGTCCCCTTCTTTTTTTATCTCCAGCCAAACAACTCATGCTCTCATTACTTGCTTGTTGAATGAGTTGTTGGTAAAGGACCTAATTATATTATTTTTTCTTGGTATACCAATTTTTAAAAGATAATGACTATGTGCAATGAAACTTTGGAAATGTGATGAAATTCCTACCACTAGGCATGAAGGAGCAAGGCCATGCCTTGCACAGTGACTTGAACACAGTAGAGTGGCAATAAATATTTGTGAAATGAATAGATGTTCTTTTTGAGGAATCATCAGAGGGTATATGATGAGCAACAGCATCCGACCATCCCCGTAACTACACTTAGAAGCTCAGTATCACTGGAGTTCCCCTGACATACTTGAGGAAAGGGTATACCACATGTGTGAGACAGGCCAAGTGTGCCGGGCCAGATTACACAAAGAAACAAAAGCAGAGAACAAGGCTGTCAAAGGCTGAAAATAAGGCTTTGTTAGAGAAGCCAACCTACCTTCCAACCAATGCCAGCATTCTTGTAATAAGGGAAGTTATCACAGATCCAGCGGTAAATCTCACTGAGGGTCATCTTCTTGGCTGGAGAGGAGTTGATGGCATAGGTGATGAGGGTGGCGTAGCTGTATCGTGGTTTGCCATCCTGGTGGACTGCGGCCTCATCTTTGCTCAAGGTGGCATTAGGATCTGTGGGTGAGCCTGGTGGACACTTGCGGCTGCCCCCTGGAGGCCCAGCCTGGGAGGCACTCCCAAGCTTCTCAATGGTAGCCCGGAGGGTCAGCTGGGGGAGCCAGTCTATGGAAGTGAGGCTACTCTCTAGGTCAGAAGCCATGGTTCTTCTTGGTTCTGCAGAAAAGTGAACAAAGGGAACAGGAAAATAGAGTAAATGAGTGTTACCTCTGGTTATGGCAGCAAGTAATACTCAAATGCTAGTGCTTTAAGGGAATTGGGAAGCAACATTTCTTTCTTCTATAATTCCCTTAGGAAACTTCTCTATGAGATGGCCCCCAACCACATGGTCCTAGAACCCTCCAATGGATCTATCACCTCTTATCTATCAGATGAGAGACTGGTACTTAATTCTACATCTCTATATGGAAGGTGGCCAAGAGGCCTCTCCCTTCTGGCAGACTAAGAGAGAAATCAACCCTCCCACCCAACCCTGCCGTCCCTTCCACGGTCCTTACAGTGCAAAGCCCTACAGCATAACATTTTAAAACTATGTAGAAATAATTTTTTTAAATACACTTAGTAACTCTGCCAAAGCTTATTCTTCAATTACGTGACACTTGTTATAATTTATATACAACATCTACAGATAGCACAAGTGAACACGTAAAGAAAAAGTCTAAACAGAAAAATGCACTAATGAAGCACACACCAACACCTTAAAGATAGTTCATATTAAATATATTTGAGCACTAGCCCTTTTTAGCCCATATACATGTGCGTGTGAGGCATGTTAGATATATACCAAGCATAAGTTACATATGAGTAGCAGCAAAGAACAGAGGTAAGACACATAAACAGGGGCCCCCAAAGAGAGATTACAAGTAGCTACACAGCATACGTTACCAACAGAGCCCAGAGTCACACACAGAGGTAACAGAGCCTGAGTACAGTTGCCCTCACACCTTGAAAGCTACCCCTCTGCAAGCTCCCGCCCACAGACACCTACACCAGGAAGAAGTCATCAACAAGGACCTCCCACCTCTCATCCTGCTGGGCTTCACTGAGCCAAGGAGACACCCAGCTGAGTGCGCACCGGTAACAATCAGATAGCCTGGCTAAAAATAGCCACTCTGGGGCTAAGAACTGGCTCCCCTTCTCCCGCCCGCCTCTCTCCTCCCTTCCAAGCCAGGCACGCAAGCTCGCTGCACCTCCATGCAAAGTCCTGGCGCCGCCAAACCGCCCACGCCTGATGTTTGCACGCCCCGCTGCCACCCACACAGCCTGGGCGCTCTTTCTGGCAGAGAGGTGTAGCTAGAGTGACGTCTTGGTGGGGGAAGAATTAGAACGATGGGGGACATCTGTACTGCAGGGTCTAGAAGGGCTGGCAGGAACCATTTGGCACGCCCCGAGAGCTGATGCCAGCGACCCACTGAGCACTTGCTGCCTAACAGGTTTGTGCCTGCACGGCCTCCAGATTCCAACTGGTATTTCTCCCTCTAGCCCCTGCAGATAGTCCCACCGGGGCATTTCTCTAGCACGCCTCAGATTTCAGAGTCCTGGACAGAAAGATATTTTGTATGTACTCTAAACCCACACACAGCTACTATGCATAAGCACATACCTACAACTCCACACAAATCCACTCACTTTGCCATTCAAAGCTCTCTGCCACTTTGGCTGCCTACCTCTCTCCTGGCTCCAACACAGCTTTCAGGCTGTCAGTCACTCCGGCAGTCAGTGACTCTTCCCCCCTTGCCACTCACCTCTTCCTCCTAAGGATCAGCATTCATGCTCATCTCCCTCTCTCCCCAGGTCCCCACCTACACAATCTGTGCACATACATACAAGTACCCTGCCCTGAGCTGTCACCAGCAACACACCCACTCTACAGACTGAAGGAAACACCTTAGTGCCCCAGGGGCCTGGGCATCCAGAGACCCAGCTGCAACCCAAGAACTGCTTGACAGGAGAAAGGCGGAGGATGGGGCGGGGTGTGTTTATGACTAGCTTCATAAAGGGGTTTTCCTTTTATCCTTATCTTCTCTCCCACCACCCTCCTTTTCATCCCACCACCATGGAAACTTAGAAACTAATAGGGATATTCAATCGTTCCAGGAAGTCTCAGACCTCCTAGCCCTACACTAAGTCAAAACACCTCAGGCTCTGGGGTAGCACGAGGGGCTGGGTCATCCCAGCAGAACGATAAGATGTGAGCAGGGTCTCAGTGACCAGAAGCGAAGGCCTGTAAAGAAGTTTTACTCTGCTCCCTACGATCTCCTGCTAAAGATCCCTAGGAAATCTCATTTTAAGAACACAGAAGCCAAAAAAAAAAGAACACAGAAGCCTGCAGTGGGCATTTTATTTGAAACTCACCCACCAGTGGACAAGAGCACGAGAGCAGATTTAAAGTGGTGACAGGGGGGCTTCCAGAACCCATTTGGCACGTGCCAACCGCTGTGACTTCTAGAAAGGGAAGCGTTCTCAGCCTTTTGCTAGTTGTTCTATGCCCGGCACCAGGTTAGGACACTGAGGTTAAATTTAACCTTTCTCCAGCACCCTGCCAGTCAGCCCTCCAGATACCGCCCTAGCACTCAAAATATATTCCAGTCTTACCAGCTACAAGACACTTGTAGCAAAAGGTCCTTCTGATCTTTCAGCACCATTCTCCTCCAACCCATCCCACTTCCTCACTCCTGTCACTTCCCCATTCTTGAAGGGCAGCCCAGTGTGAAAAGGCTCAGAGATTGAGGTTCCTCTGTCCCACTCCCAACCTTGACACTGACTCACTAAATGTCCCTAACCACCCCCTGCCCCCTGAAGTTTTGATGCCTCAGTTTCCCCTGCCAATAAAAGGGATAAAGTCATAAACACTGCCAAAGCCTCATCCTTGGAGGGAAGTGAATGAAGCTTAATGACCTCGTGGCTGCCACAAATTCCACGCTCCCCAAAATAATGGCATGAGGCTAATGTTCAGGGCTATTATTAGAAAGGCAAACAAGAGGTACTTCCATGTCTCGGTCCAACCAACCTAGTTACCCAGACCTCTCTCTCCAGGTGGGCCTCGTGCCACTGGGCTTGGGCAGAACCTGAGTCAGGCCACATTCTTCTCTGCGTGCTGGAAGACTGAAAGGAAATACCCACAGAACTGGGAAAGGCAGCCAAAGGGCAGGCTCCATCACATCCACAGGGCGTCTAATGAAGACTACAGTACTGGGAGAGAGGCAGAGAAAAACAGAAAGACATTCTGTTGGAGTAGAAGACTGATCCCAAATGAGATGTGTAAGATCCAAAATCATAGCCACAGCTTTCTTCCCATTTTATCTGCAAGGCCAGTAATTGTTCTCTGGATGGTGCCAAGGTCAGGTATTAAAGAGTGATAACTTCCTGCTTTGTACATAATGCCAAACCTAATAGAGCAGTGGCTAAGTTAAGCATATTACCAATTACTAGTCAGGCTGCCTCAGTTTCAGTCCTGGCTCCACTACCTACGGGCTGTGCAACTTCAGGCAAATCACTTAACCACTGGGCATTGTAGTTTTTCCATCTATAAACCAGAGATGGTAACTGTACCTACAGAGGGTTGCTGTGAGAACTACCCTGAATTAATACTTTTAAAGCCCTTAGTAAGTATAAGTATGACTATTTTTGAATGGAGAAAAGAATATTCGAAGTTAAAAATTAGAAAACTAACAGATTACAGGGGTAAGACTAGAAGCAGAAAGCCTGTGATGGTTTACATACTGCAAAGCCTGCACTCCGTTCAAAATATTTTCAGGACATCAGAATCTCAAGCTTTTGCTTTGGGGATGGCATCACTCCAGTGCTGACCAGTGCCAGGACCAAGTAAACTCCAAGGATGAAGAAATGGAGGAATATCATCTCTCATTTTTCAGAGGGCACAAGGTCTCGCCATAAGACATGATCTGGAAAACAGCACTCTCTCGACCACAGTTAATTCAGCCTCAGAGCCATGTGCTTCTGACATCACAGAGGCCAGGAGGGTTAGGGACACTCAGAATGAGCAGGGCCAACGAGGTGGTGGCAGCACACCTAGGGGCGCTGTACTGCTGTGAGCTCTGAGCCATCCACAGGTTGCATCCCGGCATCCGGCATCCGGTGGAGTATCTGTAGGAAAGAGACTGCTGCTACACCAGAGCTGTCTCTTTTCCAAGAAGTTAAGAAGGGAGTTTTAGAATTAAGAATCAGAGTCTTAATGCCTTTGAGACCAGAGATACCAGAAATGAAGCTCTCCTATTGGTAAGTTCCAGAAGAAACAGTCCCAGCCTGAGACTGGGCTGTGTGCTGCCTGGGATGACTGTCATGCAGCCATTCCTAAGGACTCCCACTGGCCAGGAAGGCCAAGCCTTTCCTCCGGCCTGGGCATCCTTACTAGGATCCTCCCCAGGTCCTTTCACAGGGGCACCTTCTTCTAGAGGCCTACCAGAAACATACAATGCTAGGTCATTGAAGGCTTGGTCTGAAAAGTGTATATGTACCCGTCTCCAGAAACATACCTACTGGAAACACAGTCATGGAGACACATGGAAACACACTCACCTGAATTAAGAAACATATGCACATCATTCTAAAGTACAGCCACATAAACCTGGATTACAGTCGCCTCCTATACTCCTGTACTGCTACCACCAGATAGCTTCCAGGACCAAGTGGTTGTACTTAGGGACTCAGGCAACCCATCAATGGACCAAAGAGAGAAGGAAGAAACATAAAAACCCAAAGAGATAAAGCCTCCCACTTGGCCTTGCTGTGAGGTATAAAACCCCTCACAAAGATATTTCCTAATGGCAAGGCAGGAAGGCAGGCACCCAGTTAGTGACCCCGGGGTGAAAGGCAGAGCTCTACCAAACACCAGCCTGGGCTGAACTAGAGGAATTTCCTGGCACCTTTTCCCTGCATTTTCTAAAGATTCTGGACTTGGATGATTCCTACTCCTATCTTACAAAGGAAAACTTAAATGCAGGGTTCCAGAGACCCAGCACTGAACAAGAAGCAGGAAGGGAGAAGACGAGACTATTCAGTGCTTTCAGGAAAAGGAATTCCTCAAAGGTCACATCTCCCTGGTGGCCAACTTACTCAAATGAAAGGCTGGGAGAGAGGCTGAGCAGGACACTTCTCTCTTCCTAGGTGGGATCTGATTTTCCCTGAGGAACTGTCAGCAAAGGACAGGAGCTGGACAGGGGACTGGGACAGTGGTACAGGGTCAGCCTTAGGGAACAACTTCATCCCAGGAGTTGGCATTCCCCTGTGCCCTTTCTTCTTGTCTCAGGACATGTGGAATTCCCATTCTCCCTTTGGATTTCATTGGTAGAGGCATGACTCCAGCAAGGCATGAGAATATCAGTCACTACTCAAGAGACCTCCTGATGTCTGAGCTACAATGAGTGGGGAGCGACTGCTTTTCTTTCAAGAGAGCAATAATCACAGTGGTAAGAGAGGGCAATTCTGGCGGACATAAAACTAACCTAGGGTTACAGATAAGAAAATGTAACATCAATGGAAGCTGTAAACAAGGCCAGGCCATGAAACATCACCAGGACTTCAGTGAGGGCCCACTCTCCAGGTGAGAAGGCCTGCTGTCCAGGTGACACAGGCCAAGGAGGGAGGGTGGTAAGGGAGTGTGGCTGGGATGTGTCCATCATTGTTACACAGTACAGATGGATTCCCAAAAAGCAGCTGTTTTCTGATATCTCTTTGCTATCAATATGGAAGCATACACCTCCCTAGAGACCTCGGATGAATGCCGTCCCTTAGACCCCAAACACCAAAAAAACCCGCTTCTCAGAGTCTCTGCCACAAGATGTGGGTTTGAACGCAGGAGCTCCTTCAGAACACACTTCTCTGAGGATTCTGAGTTATCACTCCACCTTCCCCAGTAATGAAACCCAAGAGACACCATCGCAGACCCCTACACCCACCTGTCCCTAAGGATGACAGAGAGAAGGCAAAAGAGTGCACTCACCTGTCTCCAAGGTTCCCCCAGCAAAGTGAGGGAACCACCTGGTACTGGAGTTTGGGGTTGGAGGGAGCCCCGTCTTCAAAGGCAGATGAAGAGTCTCATTCTCAGTGGCTTTTCCTGTACGTGGTTGAGCCTTCCAAGCTGGGGAGGGGACCTGGGTCCCCTGAGGATGAGGAGTGAAGGGAGGAGCAGGAGGAGGGGGAGGAGGAGAAGGAGGTCCTACCTGGGGAAGGTGGCACCCCCCCACACCCTGCCAGTCACGCCGGGGAGGAGGGGAGGAGCCTCTCCCAACCAGGAGTTGTCTCCTCCCCCTCGGGGGAGTCCCCCTCCCCCCCAAAGTGGATCCTTCGGGAGTGGAGGGCTCCTTCGGTCTGCTAGAGATGTGAGCGGAGGGGCTCTGCCCTGTTCCACTGTCCAGGTCCAAGGAAGTTGAGGGGGAGTTCTTCCCCACTCCCGAAAGGCTGAAAGCCGACTCCTCTTCTTTCCCCGGAGTGTCCCCTGCCTCTGTGAGCACTGGCGAGGATGCAGGGTGCCTATTCCGCAGGCTCACCCCCTTTTCTCTTTGCCTCAAAAGTCCCGAAGTGCTGAGAGCGTGTTTGGAGGGGTGGAGGCACGCGGGGCGGGCTCACTCCGCTTCCTTAGGAAGGCTCGTCCCCCTTTTACTTCTGAAGGTCTATCCCCGGGCCAGTATGGGGATTTGCCTCGCCTCCAGGAAGGAGGGACTTGTCCCCTCCAGGGGTCTCTTCTTTCCCTCGCCCGGACGGTAAGGGTCTTCTCTCCCACGGGCAGAGAGGCGGCTCCCGGGGAGCCCCCGAGGGGGGGGTTGTCGCACTCCCCGCTCTCCCCGGCCGGCCTGGGCAGCAGGGTCCGGGAGGCCGCGGCTCCGCACCCCCGTCACTGGCTACTGTGGCGGCAGCGCCTCTTCTAGCCGCGTCCCGTCCGGTCCGCTCACTCCGCGCGTGGGGCTCCCCGCGCTGCCACCTCCTGGGCTCCAGCCAGTCCGGGCTCCCGCGGAGCCAGAAGGCGGACGGACAGTGTCAGGGCTCGGCTCGGGCTCGGGCTCGGCTCGGCTCCGCTGCAGGCCCCGGCTCCTCCCCGGCCTCCGCGCCGCACTCCGAGCCCCTCCCCCTCCCCCGCCCGCCGGGCCGCCGCCGCGGCCTCCCCGCGAGGGTTAAGGAGGAGCGGGCGGCGCGGGGCTGCGGGCCTCGCCGCGGGGAGGCGCTGCGCCCGGGGAGCGGCGTCGCTGCACTCCCGCTCCCCTGCGACCCCGCCACTGCCCACGGGGACTGGCGCCGCCCGGAGTCCCCTCCGGCCGCCACCGGGACGCCTCGCTCCCTGCATCTCTCCATCCACCCAAGGGGCCCACCTCCTGCTCTGCACCCGGAGATTCCCTTGTTCGCACCGTGCGCGAACTGTCAATTCTGATTTGACACTAATTCTGGTACGCTGACCTTTTTTCATTCTGTTGATTCTATATGCAGAAAAACACCTCCATTCCTCGCCCCCCCCCCCAGGAATGTCTTTGATGGGCTTCTCTTTCTCCTGAGATAGTTTATAAAGAATTATGGGGATTCGGGTGATAAGTTACCCTGATATCCACCCGGAGTTCAGTAAATGCTTGCTGAATAAAGGAGTGTATAAAGGTATAAAAGCATGCAACGAGGAAATTCTGAACTAAACATGAGAAAGTCTAGCTTTATGAGCTTGTGCAAGACCCTTCTTTTATGGAATCTTGGTCGTTAAACAGAGGACCTTGCCTACCCAATAAGGGTATTTTAAAGATCAAATGAGATAATGTATGTGGAAATGCTTTTTAAGTAGTACAGTATACAAAAATATGACTGTTGTTTAGTTACCTTGAAAATCCTGTAATATATCTTACTGATCACAGAGTGTAGAATGTTCTCATTCTCTGCCACATACAGAATAATCCCCACCCGATGACAGTAAATGCCACCAGGGACTCTACCGCCATTTTTCCTCCTGGAGTCATATTATTTCTCTGTAGATTCTTATATATTTCACCTTCTGGTTCATTAAACTTTTCTAAATATACTCTACTTTCTATCACATAAAACAATATGAAAGCAAAATATCCATGAAGTATTTGCATTGCTAAAGAAAGACTACATACTCAAGATTACAGCTTGTTGACTACATTTCACATTTAGATGTTAGTCTTATGTCCTTTCACTAAATACATGACACTGTATTTTATTTAAATTTTATATATATATATATATATATATATATCTTCACTTCCAGCCAAGGTGGAGGTGTAGGTGGATATGCTTTGCTTCCTCGCCCAACCAAAATAAGGACAACGACCAATTTAAAAACTGCCAGAAAATCTAACTGTACGGAAGTCCAAAAAATAAGGAGCTAAAAAAGAAACATTCATCTAGACTGGTGCGCTGAGACAAAGAAACATGGCCCAAATGAAAGAACAGATCAAAGCTCCAGAAAAAGAACTAAGCATCAAGGAGATAGCCACCTATCAGATACAGCGTTCAAAACACTGGTGATCAGGGTGTTCATAGAAATGATTGAGCACGGATGCAAAAGAGAGGAAGAAGTGAAATTGTGTAAATGTTAAAGGGACTTATCTAAGAAAAAGAAAAAGATCAAAACTGTGAACAGTAAAATGACAACAGACTCACAACTATCAACAACTGAACCTAAAACAAAAACAAAAATAAAAACAAACTATGCAAACAACTAGAACAGGAACAGAATCACAAAAATAGAGATCACATGGAGAGTTATCAGTGGGGAGAGAGAGGGATGAGAATGAGGGAAAAGGTACAGGGAATAAGGAGCAAAAATGGTAGGTACACCTAAAAGACAGGGGAAGTTTAAGAATAGTATAGGAAACAGAGAAGCCAAAGGACGTAATGTACGACCCATGGACATGAACTAAGGGGCGGGGTGAATGCTGGTGTGAGGAGGGGTGCAGGGTGGAGGAGGATAAAGGGGAGAAAAAATGGGACAACTGTAATAGTATAATCAATAAACTTTAAAAAGAAATATTGCCTCTGTCTTAAGTTTACATGATTAGTAAGTAGCAAAGTCAGGATTTAAATTTACAGTTCCAAATAACTCTAAATACCCAGCTTATACTTTCTATTTCATTGTTCACAGCTGTCAGAGTTCAAAGTCATCCTGAAATTTAAAGGAAGTAAGGGCCAGTGGAACCTTTCCTTTCTTCCCACCCTTCCAATATCCAGGTGCCTCCTCACCCCTTTGAAACATTAACTCATTCTCCCCACACAGATAATTTGGCATAAATATTTCTTACTCCATGTTAGATGTTTTATTATATTTCTCCAGCCCTCTTTGACATTTTCTATGTATGTATATGAAATTGGGGGGGGGGGCAGGGGTAAAGAGGTAAAAATACTAAAAATGCAAAAACTAGGGAAGGATTAGACTCTTTTTCTGGAAATATAGAAAAATTAAAAGCTCAAGAAATTATTTGATATATATGAGGTATTTGTTGGAGCATTATTTGTAACTAAAATATTATAATCAACTTAAATATTCATAATAGTGTAACTGTTAAACTATGGTACATCTACATAATAGAATACTACTTAGCTTTTAAAAGAGTAGCAATTGTATTTAACTCTGGAAGGTAGAATTAGTGAAGAGTAGTTTTTCTTTTTATATCTTCCTTACCATTTAGATATTTTGTAAGAGGCATATATTATTTTAAAGAACCAATTTTTAATATATATAAATATATTTCAGTGAGAAAATCACTTTAAAAAGTCTGTATATGACCATATAGTTGCTCCTTAAACTATGTACATGTGTATGTACATGATACACACACACATACGTAGATATACACCAAAAATGTGAACTTAAAAAAATTATTTTAATTTGCCCTGCCTGGTGTAGCTCAGTGGATTGAGCATGGGCCTGCAAAGCAAAGGATCTCGGTTCGATTCCCAGTCAGGGCACATGCCTGGGTTGCAGGCCAGTTCCCAGCAGGGGATGTATGAGAGGTAACCATACGTTGATATTTCTCTCCCTCTCTCCTTCCCTTCCCCTCTAAAGGTAAATGAATAATAATAATTAAAAATCTTTTAAAAATTATATTTAAAAAATAAAAATAAAAGTATGCTATATCTTTAAAAATTTATTTTAATTTATCTAATTTCTACTATATTTATAATTTGCATTTATATGCTTTGTGCTTATATAATTTTAAATGTAAAAAAAAATAAACCTGTTTGGTTTTTTTTGTCCTAAGACAGGAGAAGCACTTGGCATTCATTTTCTCTTTACTTTCTATTAAGAGGAGTAATATGAAGCAGAGTAAAAATATAGGAGTCAAAAAGGAAGGAACTACCCTTCTACATAATAGAATGTATTCTATAATTCTTCATGAGTGTTAGTTGACCTTTACCAAGGTGCTTCTTCATAATATTGGTGACTAATATGTCACAATACACATTTTGGAAGCATTAAAGACCTGTGCATTATATGAAACCTTGTACAGTGGATAAGAGTCATATATTCAAACTGCAGCTTTAGCACTCAATAACTGATAACTTAAGTCATTAAACTGCTCTGTTAGTCAGTATCTCATCAGTAAAATGGGTATAATAATAATTCCTACTTCATAGTATTGTGGAGGGACCGTGCCACTTCATGCATGTAATGCATTTAATAAGTGCATAAGGGGAGGGGAACCTAGAGATTGAAAGAGGTTTGAAACATATATCAACCAAGTGCAATCTATATGGATCAAGAAACCCATATTCAGTACAGTATGTAGACATTTGGGGGAAATCCTGACTTGAACAAATCAGCTGGAATGAATATTATGAAGCAGTTGGTGAAATTTAAATCCTGACTATGGTGATATCAAGGAATTACTGTTATATTTTAGATGTTAAAATATAACAATATTTTGTTAATGAAATTAACACAATAATAAAATTGTGTTAGAATCTTTATCTTTTAAAGATGTATATGGAAGTATTTAGTCATGAAATGCCTGAAATCTTCTTCAAAAAAATTGAACGATGGGGGAGAGAGGCATAGGTGATAAAAGGTTGGCCTGTTGTTGCTCATTACCATGTGGGGTTTTTTTAATACTATTTTCTGTACTTGTATATGTGTCTGAAGTTTAACAAAATAAATTGTCTTTTAAAGTGCTGTAACATAGTAAAAACAGTACTGTTTACCATTATTATATGCTTTGTACAATATTTATAATATTATCTAATGTTTGCTTACATTTTTCAGATTACAACATTACAACATGTTTTCATTTACACTATGATTTCTGGTACTCACACTAAATCTAGGAGGTAGGTATTATGTGCCCATTTTGCAAATGAGAAGACTGAGCCGGAGACAAGAGTTCAATTCCAGGAAATATACTCTCCACTCAGCCAGCTACAGGGTACCCATGGTAAAAGGATAGGAGGTACCACCGGCCACTGGCACAAGGTCCTTGGTTCACCAAGCACGGAAAGGTCACAGGTTCGCTTCCCAATCAGAGCACTTATCTAGCTTGCAGGGTTCTGTCTTGCGGTTGGGGCACCTGCAGGAGGTAACCAATCGATGTTTCAAAGTTTCCCTCTTTCTCTCTCCATTCCTCTTTCTCTGGAATCAATAAATGTATATATATATATATATATATATATATATATATATGTACATATATATACATTTGTATATATGTATACATGTATACTGTATATACAATAAATGCATATATATTTAAATATTTTTAAATATATATTTTTTAATTTTTTAAATGGCTCTAGTCAGATCTAGTAGGGAGAGAATAAACAGAACATACAAAATGTTCTGTTTAGAAAAAGCTAGGAAAAGTTATCAGACAAAATTTGAGCTCACATTTACACATCAGAAGAACCCTAGCTACTACTTTAAAAGGCAATCTCAGAAGAACAGAACCCAGCAGAAGAGATTAAATCATAATGGAAAAGTCCTTGCCAAGGTTTTTATTTCCTTTACATACCGGTAACTGTATTCTTTTAAGTTTTTATTAATTTAACTCTATCTCTTATACCTAACCTGTTTATTGTTGCTAAAAATAAGACTAAAACTAAGGCTAGGGCAGAGATGAGAAACTGTGGGAAGCGAGGTTGAGAAGTGGGACGTCACACCACAGTTGCTCCGAGGCCCAGCTGCCTAGTCGTTGTGATCCACCTTAAGGAGCTCTGGCCACTCCGCAGTAGAGCGGGCGCTCAGCTCCTCCCACTCCCGTGTCTGCTCCGACCCGGGAACGTGGAGGAGACAGGAGAGACGCACTGAATGGAAAGATTGGCGCCAGGGGCTGCAGGGTCTCTCCCTCCCCCGACTCTAAGCGCACCGGGGACGAGCGTGGAAAGCACGGGGCACTGGGGTGTGGGTCTTTGCCGGAGGTTTCGGGGTGGGGATGTGCTCTACTGAACCGGGGACGAGGGGGGATGCGAGGGGTGGGGCTCATCTTGGGGTGGGGTCGCAAGGGGGCAGAACTGGCGCGTTTGACAGACGCTGTACACACAGTGACCGCTAGTGCAACAGTGTAAGTTCGCGAGGTCCGGACGCACCTCTTCAGATCATTTCCAAAAGAGGGGCAAGTTTTTCATTCCCCGCCCCGATGCCCCTTCTTCGTTTTAATTGATTGGCCTTAAGGTAGGCGGGGTCCAAGGTTGCTTGTTAATTGGCTACCTAAGTAATCTATCAGGATGACGCAACTATTTGGGGAGGAAGTGAAGATTATTTTGGTACCTCCTGCCCCAACTACTGATTGGTTGAGATTTGCAGTGATCTGAAACGAGGCCTGAAAATGTCCACCAAAGAGAAGGGCCTATTGGCCGTTTACGAAGGGACGTTTCCTAGGGTGGGACTGGGAGGAGGCAGCCGGACTCTGTTATTGTAGCGAAGGACCAAAGTGGTTGAAACCCGGAAATGAGTTGCGAAGGGAACTGCAGGAAAAAGGAAAATCCGCGGCACCTTCTCTGCCCTCAAACAAGGTCATTTCCTGCGTGGGATCGATAGTTTCCTGTTTACTCGGCGAAGTCTGCGTGTATCCTGGCTTTGTGGAATATACGTGACAATTAAATTCTGATGAACCTTTGGTTCCAGACTTCTCATTTACTTAACGTTACTTAAAAGAATGAACGGCTGGGGAAAGGAAAAGCACGGAGTTTACCACTTCCTTTAGGGAAGAATGGAGAAATCGAGGCTCTCACGTGGAAAGCTAAGGGTGACGCTGGCTCACAGTATTCAAGCTGGTGGGCTTATAAAAAAAATTTTTAAACCCTTTCATAAAATAATAGGAGAGGGTGGGTGGAGATGAAGAGAACTGTAAGCATTTGTCTGAAGGAAGGGCATTAATTGCATATAAAAACCTTGAGTAGAGTGTATTTTACTCATCGTTGTATTTCTGGTGTTTGGCAGTGTCTGATACATAGTAGGTGATCTGAACCAAACCAGAATGAGTAGACTCTTTCCAAGTATGCTGGGCTAATTCTAAACATGTCAGACCTTTCCAATGGCAATTTTATGATCCTGGAAAAATACTCCACACTTACCACCTCAGTTAATCCAGCTATAAACTGAGATGTAGCTATGCGTCCTACCTGTGAAAATGCTACCATTTTCTCCTTAACACCCTGAAACCTTTAAAATTTAAAGCAGATTTCCCATCAGTCTGCCTTCCTAGAAAAATTAAAAAGATAGATGGGAATTAGATGAAAATATCTCTACATAGAGTAAATGAAAAATAGTCTTGAACCTGCTGAGATTCAAGAATAGGAAGTACTACTATTTGAGTGTTGAGAGATACCATCTATACTATAAATTACAGAATCACTTGCTTTGAAGTGATATGGGAAACTTTGAAAAACCTCTGTTTAACCTTTATTTGCCCAGGCCCCAGGCACCCTAGGGAG